CATACATTTACATCACGTGCCTATGCGTGTTTATATGCGTGTATGTATGCAGCACAAAGTTGAACCAAAGCAGCAACAACAACAACAGCTGCGGGTACTAACTGGATGTACCTACCAAAATTGATTTCAAAATTTCGGAAGTTATAAGAAAAAACACGAATTGCGGGGGAGGGGGGGTGTATCAGAAAAAATAAACAAATTCGATCTGCCTAGGGCTTATAGGAACCTTGATACCAATTTTGGTTATCCTAGGTCTTGTACTTACTGAGATCCCTGCGCTCATACAGACAGACGGACATGGCTATATCGACTCGTCTTGTCATCCTGATCAAAAATATATATACTTTGTGGGGTCTGCCACGCCTCTTTCTGCCTCTTACATACATTCGCACAAAACTAGTATACCCTTTCACCCTTTGGGTACGGGGTATAAAAATAATAGAACTTACTATTAGCAACTTTTCGTGAGCTTAAGGAGCGACACACTTAATATTTTTGGAATGTTTGTGCAAGCACTACTATTATTTTGAGCGCGTAGAATAGGGACTAGCTGTGGAAAATGCAAATAACAACAACAACAAGTGCACAAAAAGTTAAAGTAACGCGTCATTTTATTGTGCTCTTGTTGTAGATCACATAGGTAGAAAGAAAGGATTAAAATTGAAAGGAAACACAAAAATACGAACGGTAGAACGTTGTGAAAAATATCACTACTATTATTTTGAGCTCAACTGTATGTATGTATGCCTGTGTACGTACATATATAGCATGTATGTACATTCGTATGTATGTATACATTGGACAATCGAGCACTGTTCTTTGATTGTAATAAATAATGTTCTATGGTTTTAAATCAAATTTTTAAAACGAAAAACAACAACAACTGCAAGTCATTGGCTCGCGTTTCTTCTTTTGTTTTGATCATTTACGCCTGTTAATTTCAAAGGATGTACATATGTATGTTTGTATAGGATTTGTTCTAATTGATCTCAATAAATTATAAGATGATATTATTTAAATTTTCTGTTAATTGCATTCAAACTTCGATGGAATTATTGATTGTACCGACGGATTCAAGTATCGATAGTTTTGATGCTCTAGCACATAGAGCATCCGACACATGTCCATCTCTAGCATCTCAGCTGATCGCATATTTACAGCCACTTACCGTTTTAGTGTTAGCTAACAACGATACAAATGTATTCTGAACAAATCTAAGAGTCATTTACCGTTAAGCCTATTTTGTGAGTGAATGCATGCGATTTACAAAAGCAGAAACACACCTTTTACATTCACAACAATCATATTGGAATTGAAGACACAAATTAGTGTTGAATTAAAAAATTAAATACATATGTACATATCAGCGTTGCCGAACGCTCCAATTTTGGCGGGACGTCCCGATTAATAAATCAAAATTAAATGTCCCGCGTCGGACTTTTCGGGGATAACTCGACCGTGCGTACAACGTGCTGAGGAAGCACACAGTTAAGTCAGGACTGGCATTCCGCCCGGTGCGTAACGAAGATAAGTACATATGTATGTATGCACGTATAACCATACATAGTACTTATTGTCGAAAGAATATCATATAGTAAATAAACTTATAATTATAAGCACATTTTACTTAGCCCAACAAAGACGGGCAAGACCTGCTAGTCTCTATATATATAAAACAGTTTGTCCTGACTGACTGATTGGCAATCAACGCACAGCCCAAACGGTAAGAGCTAGGAAGCTGAAATTTGGACACAAGATCCCTCTTATAGTGAAAGTGAGCACTAAGAAGGGGTTTCGAAAAATTCGAGCTCCAAAGGGGGGAAAACGAGCTCCAACGTTTGTATGAAAAATCTACAATTTTTATCCGTATATTTAGTTTTTAGTTTGTATATTCTCAAAAAGAATACAAAAAAAACTGTATACTTGGATTTTCAATATTTTTCCTGCGGCCTGAATAATAATGATTTTCCGGTGGAAAATTCGGTAAACGAAAAGCTATGTGCAATCAACGCACAGCCCAAACGGTAAGAGCTAAGAGGTTGAAAATTGGACACATGTTGTCTTCAGTGGTGTAGGTGAGCACTAAGAAGCGGTTTTGGAAATTTCGAACGCCAAAGGGGGGAAAACGGGCTCCAACGTTTGTATGAAAAATCTACAATTTTCATCCAATTAACTTCAAACTTAGTTTGTATACTCTCAAATAGAATAGAATACAAGAAAAACTGTATACTTGGTTTTTCACCATTTTTCCTGGGGCATGAAAAAAGGGGGGTTTTCCGTGGAAAAATTGAAACACAATCAACACCCCACAGCCCAAACGGTAAAAGCTAGGAAACTGAAATTTTGGCTCAAGTATCCTATCATGGTGTAGATGCGCACTAAGAAGGGATTTTGGAAAATTCGAGCTCCAAAGGGGGGAAAAGTAGCTCCAAAGTTTGTTTGAAAATTCTGCATTTTTGAATCGATCAACTTTAAATTTAGGTTTTATAATCTATAAAAGAATACAAATAAAACTGCATACTCGGTTTTTCAAAATTTGTGTTGGAGCTTGAATTATTGGGGTTTTAATATTTATTCATTTTTTCAAATGAATAGTTTGTGTTATAAATTTTGTCCGATCGATTTCAAATTTGGGTAATATAATCTACGTAACTAAAATTACAACTTTGCATTTAACGATTTTTAAAATATGCATTTTACAAATGCAAGTAGAACAAACAATACAAAATATCAAACAGTTGGGGACAACTAAGTATACATACACACACACACACATACATACATACAAGCAGCTGTTCGTGTAGTTGCGTGTAAACGGTTGAAGTAGCCAAAGCAAAATGTGAGACACTAATGTGTGAATGTTCATTTGTACACATGTATGTACATACATACATACATATGTATGTACAAAAGTACATTCGTCTTGCACTGACAGGGCAAGAAATGTTAATTAATTAAAAATTATTAACATTATAACATAAACATTTTTATGCTATTTTTTCTTTGTTTAGTACATTTGGCATAAGGAGTTTTTAGGACAACGGACTACAAGGGCGTACGCAGGTTGGGCAGGGGGGACATTTCTCCCCTTAGAAAGAATTTCGCATTATGAATTACGCCAGCACCATATGTATTACATACGTACATACGTCTGTATGTATAGCATGTACATATGTATGTATGTACATCAATAAGTATGTATGTACGTTCATACATTCCTATATACATATGTATATAGGTTTGTATGTACAAGTATGCAGTGGGCTATCGAACACTGTTGTTTAATTGTAAAAAATAGTTTTCTATGGTTTCAAATCAAAATTTTTAAAACAACAACTTCAAGTTATTGGCTCGCAAATCTTCTTTCGTTTTGATCATTTACGCCTTTTCATTACATACGCAAAATGCCAAAAGTTTACAGTTACAGTACACATACAAATAAATTTGTATGTATGTATGTGTACAGTGTACAATCGAATACAGTATTATAATCAATAACTCTCAAACGATGTTTTTCGATGTATTTGTATTCGACATGTATTACGATATATCAACACAAGTATCGATATTTTCGATATATCGCATTTAATTTTATTATTGGGGTTTTAATATTTATTCACTTTTTCAAATGAATAGTTTGTGTTATAAATTTTGTCCGATCGATTTCAAATTTGGGTAATGTAATCAACATAACTATATCAACAAATTGGCATTCAACGATTAAAATATAGCAATATGTTTTTTACTTGCCATATATCAAATATCAAATAGTTGGGAACAGTTCGTGTCTATGTGTGCCCATGCATACATACATATGTACAAGCATATGTATCTATGCCTGTATATGTATGAAGCATGTAAATACAAAACAACAACAACAACTTCAAGTTGTTGGCTCGCTCATCTTCTTTCGTTTTGACCATTTAATGTTAATTGCAAAGGCAAAACGCCAAAAGTTTACAGTTACCGTCGCTAAGCAACGACTGCGTATGCGATAGTAAAGCAGAAACCGAATAACGGAGCTACGCATATTCTGCTTCGCATTGCGGGCAGATGTATGTATGTATATGATTTGTTCTTATCGATCTCAATAAATAATTAGATTTTATTATTTAAATATTCTGCTTATTGCATTCAAACTTCGATATTTTGATGGTATCGGTGGCTTCAACTATCGAAAGTTTTACTCTAGCAAATTGAGATGAGAATTGTCAGTGCTTTTTGATCGTGGCTCATCGCTGCACGGCATTGACACGAGTGCCGTGTTTCATATTCCGAGTTTGTGCGTGACCGTATTGACTCAAATGTGAATTTAAAATTAGGATATACCCTTATAATTATTCCCCTTTTTTGCACATAGTCTATCTTAAAACGTTGCGTTATCTATATATATAAAACAGTTTGTCCTGACTAATTGGTGATCAACGCACAGCCCAAACGGTAAAAGATGAAATTTTGACTCAAGTATCCTTTCATAGTATCCATCATAGTGTAGGAGCACACTAAGAAAGGCTTTTGGAAAATTCTAACTCCAAAGGGGGGAGGTTTAAAAAAATATTAGTTATAGTGGTCATGTTCGTTTAAAGAAATAGTTTGGCAAGAACAAAAATGTAACGGACTACTGAACAATTTTTTGTCAAGAACAGAAAATGTTCATTTAAATACCTTAAATTCCTTCCTACTGGTAACTTATAAGGTGAAAACATATGGGTAGGTTATGCACACACAAAATAAATACAATTGGAAACATTATATTGAGCCGGGTTAAGACGGGCAATACCTGCTAGTATGGTATATACTTTGTGGGGTCTCCCATGTCGCCTTCTGTGTGTTACATACATTCGCACAAAACTAGTATAGCCGATTACCTTTTGGGTACAGGCTATACAAATTATACTAAATAATTTAAAATATTTAAGTTTTGGAAAATTTAACGTTAGCAATTTCATTAAATATTTACGATTAATATCCCAATACATGTATTGCATTAATATACTTACATGCGGTTTATATTACGTTTTAAAAGAGGTTCAAATAGTCCGAGCATAGGAGTGATTCCGCTACCGGCTGCCACTAACAATATATTTCGATGTAAAGCCAATGCATTTAATAAAAACTTTCCATACGGCAGACTGACCCGTACAATATCTTTCTCCTGGAGTTTGTATAGTCGGGGTGAAATTTTTCCAAATGCGTTACGCTTAATGAGAAAATCCAGTGATGTGCTTGCCTCTGATGCAGATGATAAGCCATTGGCAGACATATATTTGTGTGGAACGGGCGTATAACTACGTTCTAGAACAACACCTGTAGGATGATATTAGTATCAGTATTTGAAAAATGATTCTGGAAACTAACCTTCAAAGTTCAATTGAAATGTTACATGGTAACCAATCGGCACAATAAGCATTGCTTCTTGTCCTACGCTCTGCAGATTGAACTCAAACGAATTGTGATTTAAGTCCACCTTCCGTAGAACTTGAAAGTTGTACATTTCCTCCTCTGATTTAAGTGCTTGCTCCACTTTAATACTCTTAATCGTTCCATAGGAAGACCAAGAAACGGGCATCTGTTTGCGTAGAACTATTTCTAATTTTCCAGTTTCTACATTTGAGTAAACTGTTTTTGGTGGCCAATATACCGCGCCGGTTAGTTCGATATAAAATTGATGCCAGTTCTTATCCACGTAAACAAGCAGATCTAAGCCAGTTTTAACTTCTGTGGTTTTGTGCTTTAGCAATATCCCTGGATTTGCGAAGCAATAAGTATGTATACACAGTATTACTTCACTGCGCTGCTGCATCCAATCAAAACGTGGAAAACTTGGTGGGTCACTTAGTTTCAAAGGCATTTTGTGACAATCGTTTTTCAGCGGTCCTACGTAGCACTTTTCAAGCAACTGAGGATAGTTTACCCAGGCGTGCACCTCATCAAAAAGTTTTGTTGCATCTTTCCCTGTTCCTCGTAGCAGCTCATTAACACCTCCTGGATGAAATTCCATATACCGGGTAACGTTAAATACTTTTCCACGTATCGCTAGCCAAGCATCATTTACATTATTATGGCGAGCCAACTCTTCGTTGGTTACCGGCAAAATTTTTCCAGCAGTTCCAGAAAGGTCAGTACCAGATTTACACAGTCGTATCCAACTCATCAGTGAGTACCCGGGCTTAAGAGCGCACTTGTTTCGTGGATTACCCGTTGCCGAGCCATTGGAGGGACTAATACTCGTCGTCCTAGGTATTTGTAAATTGTCTGCCGATGTAATGAGGGCTTTACTTTTGAGATCTGACATATCTACAACAAATAGAAAGTCCATAAAACAAAATAAAAAACATCGATAGGCTTTATCTATACCTACCAGGGTTGGGCATCGATATGCAAATATCGATATTACGATGCAACATTTCAGTAAAATCAGATTTGATATTCAATGCGATATACTTCAATGCATCGCTTTTTACTACGATATATTTTTACATCTCTTACATTATTTTCCACGCTTTTTATGTACATACTAGCAGGTATTTCCCGTCTTAACCCGGCTCAATATAATGTGTTCAATTGTATTTATTTTGTGTGTGCATAACCTACCCATATGTTTTCACCTTAAAGGTTACCAGTAGGAAGGCATTTAAGGTATTTAAATGAACATTTTCTGTTCTTGACAAAAATTTGTTCATTAGTCCGTTACATTTTTGTTCTTGACAAACTATTTCGTTAAACGAACATGACCACTATAACTAATATTTTTTAAAGCTCGTTTTCCCCCCTTTGGAGCTAGAATTTTCCAAAAGCCTTTCTTAGTGTGCTCCTACTCTATGATGGATACTATGAAAGGATACTTGAGTCCAAATTTCATCTTTTACCGTTTGGGCTGTGCGTTGATCACCAATTAGTCAGGACAAACTGTTTTATATATAGAGATAACGCAACGTTTTAGGATAGACGATTTGCAAAAAAGGGGGAATAAATATAAGGGTTTATCCTAATATTTAATTCACATTTGAGCCTTTTCGTGCCATATTAAGTCAATACGGCCACGCACAAACTCGGAATATGAAACACGGCACTCGTGTCAATGCCGTGCAGCGATGAGCCACGATCAAAAAGCACTGACAGTTCTCATCTCAATTTGCTAGAGTAAAATTTTCGATAGTTGAAGCCACCGATACCATCAAAATATCGAAGTTTGAATGCAATAAGCAGAATATTTAAATAATAAAATCTAATTATTTATTGAGATCAATAAGAACAAATCATATATATACATACATCTGCCCGCAATGCGAAGCAGAATATGCGTAGCTCCGTTATTCGGTTTCTGCTTTACTATCGCTTACGCAGTCGTTGCCTAGCGACGGTAACTGTAAACTTTTGGCGTTTTGCCTTTGCAATTAACATTAAATGGTCACAACGAAAGAAGAAGAGCGAGCCAATGACTTGCAGTTGTTGTTGTTTTTAGAGCATTATTTTTATTACAATCAAACAACTGTGTTCGATTGCCCAATGTATACATTAATACGAATGAACATACATGCTATATTAATACACAGGCATATATACATATGTATGTATGTTTCTCTTTACTTTTTCAACCGTACGTAGAGAACCGCACACATAGACACGAACTGTTGCTTGTTGTGTGTGAGTGTGTGTATGTGATGTCCCCAACTATTTGATATTTGTTGTTGCTGCATAAAGTTATTATTGAAAACCCTAATGCCAAATGCACTAAAGAAAGAAAAAATTACTTTTAAAAATGTTATATAATTTTCAATAAATTAACATTTCTTGCTCTGTCAGTGCAAGACGAATATACATACATACATATGTAGATACATATGTACATACATAGATGTGCACATATGTATGGACATTCACACATTAGTTCTCACATTTTGCTTTGGCTATTTCAATCGTTTGCACGCAACTACACGAACAGCTGTTTGTATGTGTGTGTGTGTGTGTGTATGTATACTTAGTTGTCCCCAACTGTTTGATATTTTGTATTGTTTGTTCTTCGTGCTTTTGTAAAATGCATATTTTGAAAATCCTTTAATGCAAAGTTGTAGATTTAGTTACGTAGATTACGTTACCCAAATTTTAAATCGATCGGACTAAATTTATAAAACAAACTTTTCATTTGAAAAAATGAATAAATATTATAACCCCAATAATTCAAGCTCCAACACAAATTTCGAAAATCTAAGTATGCAGTTTTGTTTGTATTCTTTAATTGATTTTAGAAACTAAGTTTTAAGTCGATCGGTTGAAAAATGCGGATTTTTAAAACCAACTTTGGAGCTACTTTTCCCCCCTTTGAAGCTCGAATTTTCCAAAATCCCTTCTTAGTGAGCACCTACATTATAACAGGATACTTGAGCCTAAATTTCAGTTTCCTTACTTTTACCGTTTGGGCTGTGGGGTGTTGATTGTGTTTCAATTTTTCCACGGAAAACCCCCCCTTTTTCATGCCTCAGGAAAAATAGTGAAAAACCAAGTATACAGTTTTTCTTGTATTCTTTTTGAGAGTATACAAACTGAGTTTGAAGTTAATTGGATGAAAATTGTGGATTTTTCATACAAACGTTGGAGCCCGTTTTCCCCCCTTTGGCGTTCGAATTTTCCAAAATTTTCTTAGTGCTCACCTACACCACTGTAGACAACATGTGTCCAATTTTCAGCCTCCTAGCTCTTACCGTTTGGGCTGTGCGTTGATTGCAAATAGCTTTTCGTTTGCCAAATTTTCCACCGGAAAATCATTATTGTTGAGGCCGCAGGAAAAATACTGAAAAATCAATTATACAGTTTTTTTTGTATTCTTTGTGAGAGTATACAACCTAAGTTTGAAGTTAATCGGATAAAAATTTTAGATTTTTCATACAAATGTTGGAGCTCGTTTTCTCCCCCTTGGAGCTCGAATTTTCCGAAACCCCTTCTTAGTGCTCACTTTCACTATAAGGGAGATCTTAGGTCCAAATTTCAGCTTCCTAGCTTTTACCGTTTGGGCTGTGCGTTGATTGCCAATCAGTCAGTCAGTCAGGACAAACTGTTTTATATTTATAGAGATGTACTTCGTGAAGCTTGTTTGATTTCGCACTTAAAATTATGCCAAAGTAAGTGCATTTTAAACCTATATGTATGTATATACTTAAATATTTATTGATATTTTTTGTTGGATTCTTACAGAATCATCCAAAAGCAAACCAAAATTTGGCAATGTTCCACAAAAATTTATTACTTTATTACGCGGCAGAGTAATAACATTACAAGTGGCGCCCGAGCAGGGACCCCAAAGAAGATTGAGGTTATATCCGACCAAGTAGAGAGAAGAGAGCGTGGACCTACGATGCTACGAACGAGCTGGATACGCGAGTTCGAAATCGAAGAGACCGGCAACGTGGAGACGTTGCGGTCGCGGCTGTCCACGTTCGTGAAGTCGGCCAAAGAAGAGTACCGACCCCGCCTGGAAGAACTAGCGGCATATCACGAAAACATGTCATCGCGTACCGTGGCGGCAGGCCAGTTGAGCCCGGTGCCCGGCGGACGGCTGGGAGTCCCGAAACAAGAGGATGTACCGGAAGGTCTACTCGTCGCGACAGAGGCAAACACGACACCAGCCGTGGTCCCGGTGCGAGCCGCATCGCCGACTACAGCGCGGGCGACATCGCCAACTCCAGCGTCAGTACCGACCATATCTGTAGCGGTCGCGGTCGCGGCCTCACCTGAAGCGTCCGCAGCCAAGCCCACGGCAGCCTCAGCGACGCCAACAGCGGCTCCAGTGCCCTCAACGGTAAACCTGGCACAAGCAATCGCCGATTCGATGGCAGTTGTGTTAGCGCAGTACACCCACCGGTTGGCCCAAGCTATGGAGGATGGTTTCCAGAAACTGTCAAGCCAGATCTGCGCTTCCACAGCGTCTGCTGCGCCTGCTGGTAATGCGCCTGACGAAGATGACCCAACAGCACCGACTCCAGCGCCACCACTCGCGAGTGCGCTGGCGGTGGCAGAGCAACATGCGCCAACATCAGCCAAACGAGATCGAGCCGCGTGGCAGACACAGGTAGCACAGTGGGGCGTCCGATTTGACGGCAGCGGGGACCCAAGAACGTTCCTTCGGGATCTGGAAGATAAGGCAGATATGAGCAACGTGCGACTAGACGATTTGGTGACAGTATTACCGGAAGTCCTGGTCGGCGAGGCAAAGGAATGGGAGTGGTCAAGGCGCAATTTGGCACAACGGTGGGTCGAGTTCCGCCAAGACCTACTAAAAGAGTATCCAGCAGGCCCCCATATAGAAGAGCGCCGGCGGGAAGCATACAGCCGGGTCCAGGGTGCATCAGAGACACCTATCGAGTATGTCCGAGCGATGCGACGGCTGATGCGCGGCGTGGAGATGACTGCAGAGGAGCAGCTGAGACTTGTCCACGCCAACAGGCTACCAGAAATACGCGCCAACCTCCGCCTGGCAGGCGAAGAAGTGAGCTCACTCGATGGGTACGTACAGGCGGCACATGGCGTGCACCAAGCAGTCTTGGCGCAGGCGCAGGCGGCCGGCAATGATGAGACAAATGCCGCACACCCTGCGCCGACCCCTCAGCCGGTGGCAGCAGCCCCAGCGGACGCGCAGAGACGAGAAGTGATGGAGTGCTGGCGCTGCGGAATGGGGGGGCATAACGTGGATACTTGCCCTAATACTCAGCGGCTCTATTGCTGGGACTGTGGTAAGTTGGGTGTACGCGCGAACGAATGCTGCCGGCACACTCCAGGAAACGCCAGGGTGGCTCGCCCCACACCAGCAGCCGGCGAGCCCACGCAGGCAAACTCCAACTAAAGACAAGACGCAGGCTGGCGACCGCGCTACCAGTAGACTGTGACGGTTTACTAGTAGAGGCGGTCGTGGACACCGGAGCGACACACAGCTTTGTGAGTCCGAGGCTAGCGCAGCGCCTGCGGGCGCCAGACTGAGAAAACGTACGGTCCGTGAGCGCGACTGTGTCCATGGCTGACGGAACACAGAAGACGGTCCGTGAAGAGACGAAGGCGACGATCACGGTGGGCGACAGTCGCGTGGTACTGCCGCTGCTCACACTCCCCGGATGCGTAGACGAGCTCACACTGGGATTAGATTACGTCCATATGGCCAACTGGGCGGTGACTGTGGACGGCCAAACTGTAGAACTACGAACGGACGATCAACGGCCACGCAGGCGGCGGAGGCGGAATCGCAGAGCCCGACATGCAGCCTTGGTGACAAGCGAGCAGGCGGGGCTCACTATAGCCGCCTACTAGCAGATTCCGATGGAGCGCGAAAGCCAG